ACATTCATTTCTGTAATTTAACTAGACTGAGAGACCATTTAAAGGCCCGGGAACCTTTACAGGTGTTTCTATTTGCAATTTAAAATTTTAGCTGATTGGGTTTTTGTTAAATATCACACAGTGACCTTTTAATAGTCTAGATTAGTGTAATGTTCCTATTAGTAGTTCCTCCTGTTAAGTGCGTATTTGTTTAAATTATTCAGGTTTATATAAAACAGTTGGACATACATTTTATTATGTTCAGTCATTAGTCATTTATATTTTACTATTGCAGTAATTCTTGCATTCTTTAATGAAAAAAGTAAATAAGTAGTTACTTTTGTTGGTAATTAGTTACTTTTATGATCTTGTAACTCAGTTAGTAACTGAGTTACTTTTTTGACAAAGTAATCAGTAACTATAACTAATTACTTTTTTAAAGTAACGTTCCCAACACTGATGGCCTGTATTTGATATAGCACCTTCTAGAGTCCTGGAACCCCCCAAGGCACTTTACAACACAATCAGTCATTCATCCATTCACACACACATTCACACACTGGTGGTGATGAGCTACGATGTAGCCACAGCTGCCCTGGGGCGCACTGACAGAGGCAAGGCTGCCGAGCACTGGCGCCACCGGTCCCTCCAACCACCACCAGCAGGCAACGTGGGTTAAGTGTCTTGCCCAAAGACACAATGACAGCAACAGACTGAGCAGGGCTCGAACCTGCAACCTTATGATTGCGGGGCGAGCACTTAACTCCTGTGCCACCGTCGCCCAATGCTCAAAAAGGGAAAAAAGGGAAAAAATAGCAGTAAAAATCCTGGAAGTTTCACAGCACCAGAAACAGAAAAGTAAAATGTCCAAAAAAATACCGTTTTTCTTGAGAAACTAGAAGAAAAATGTCCAAAAAAAGGCAAAACTTACATATAATCAACAGAGCTACTCCAACATGCAGCCACCCAGAGCAGCGCAGTTCTGGAAAGGCATTGTTCATCTCCAAACTGTTTTTGGAGAGCTCTAAAGATTTTCTCTAGGAGGATGTTTTGGTACTGTTCAGAGTCCACCCTTGGCTTAAGAATAATCCCACACATGGATGGTCTTCAGATGCTTCACTGTTGGCTTGATGAGACTGATAGGGTCACTCACTTCTGACAAAGGAAATCCACCAGGGAAAATGACTCAGCAGTCTAATCTCTGGACCTTTTCTTAATCTCAGGCTGCACCTGATAACATTCTTAGAGGTAAGGAGCTCCTTTGCTGCCCCTCCTGCCACCAAACCCTCCAGAAGTCTTCTCTTCTTATGCCTGCTTCCTACTGGTGCCCCAATCCCACAGCTGGATCAACTTTAGAAGATGTTCCTTGTGTGTTCTGGCCTTTATTAAGAGCCCTGGGAATTTTTTTTATTATAAAAGCAGAAGGGATTTTTATTCATTCAGTTACAAAAAAACAAGTAAATTTTCATGGCAGAAGTGGGACTTAGCGATTACTTCTTGATGGACATTTCTCTCTTTAGAACATCGGAGTGCCATGCCAGCTTCCAACAAGACGGCAAACGTTGCAGTAGATACTGTTTGACCCATTCTGAAACCATTACATCACCACCGGTAAACATGTTACCTGTACAGTCTGTTTACAGCGGAGCAGCACACAGAAAACCCCTTCATGATCTTCATGTGGACTAATTGAGTTTGACAAGTCTTCATTTCTAATCCTGTACCATGTGATCCACAGCAGCTGGTGCCCCATCCTCACTTTCAGAAGGGATTTACAACATTACAGAACATAACACCAGTCGCGCTTGTTTGGAGTTTCTCTAAACAATCTGTTTAGTTTGGGCAGATTAGCAGGAAAACTCATTTAAACTGTTGTTGTCATAAACCGGAGGGAGAAAGTAAGATACTGAGAGTTAACTTAAGACTGGTTCGTGTAGTGTGTTAAGTCATTTTAGTGCTGGGGGACTTGGAGAACATTTTCCCATCATGGGACAGCGCCTGAGCGAGGACAGTGACCCAGACAAGGAAATCGATGTGGCAGAGCTGCAGGAATGGTACAAAAAATTTGTTGTGGAATGCCCAAGCGGCACTCTGTTCATGCACGAGTTCAAGAGTTTCTTTGGTGTTACGAATAACAAGGAGGCTGCAGATTACACCGAAAACATGTTCCGAGCCTTTGACAAGAATGGCGTAAGTGACAGCAGTCCTTTGGTTTGACCTCCATTTGCATACAGCATTAGGCAATAGTTGACTGGAAGCATTTTTGTGTTTTTCTTTATTTTTGCTTGTATTTGTTTGAGTTTTTAATGAGCAGAAATGAAGTTGGTTTAGAGATTAGCTTGATGCTATGGGTGAAAAGGATTATCAATCTTTCAAAAGTTCATGTTGAAAACTTGCTTTCATCACGAATGTCCAAACCCTGCTGTTTCCAGGACAACACCACCCGGAACCAAGACGATCCAACAATTTTAAAAGCTTTGGGTTAAAATCAGAGCATTCTCAACGTGCTTCTGAACAAACCAGAGTACTTCACACACCACACACAGTAGGATTATCTAAGATTATCTTTAGAGCCATTACAGTAACTGGGCATGTCCTTAGGATTATTAGGATCAGGTAAAAATTTGGCACGATTATCCTGTGGTGTGAACCGGGCGTAAGGTCAGCTTTCTTTGATTCTCTGAGCCGACTCCACACAGCCTCACTTCAGAGTCAGCTGACGGCCTCTTCAAACTCCAAATCCTAATTTGTTTCAATGCTTAAACGTTTGAAAGTTATTCTTTATCTTGTGCATGAATCGCTCGTGCAAGAATCATTAATAATTGTGCTAGAGTGGATGTGGCATTTTAAAGTTTAACAAGTCGACCTTTAACTTGAATGTTTCCTTCAGGCCAAGAGTTATATTTAATCACCAGGCAGAGGTGCAGAGATGTAGCATCATACCTGCCCGCGTGATTAAAGTTCAGTGGGAGATGAAGACACACAACTTTGTTTTTTATTTATTTATTGCAGTTGTTATGGCAAACTTTAAAGCCGTGGCGTTGCAAAGCCTCCTCCCTCCATGATTTATCAGAATGTGAACAAATGTTTGGACTTCCATACAATCCTGCTTGTCAGTTTGTGTCCTAAAACTACTTCAAAACCTCCTAAAAGGTTCAGACTCGCTGGGTTTTTCACCATAAAAGAGCAAGTGGATGAAAAATGTGTTTTATTGTGGTAGAAAAGGAAGAAAAGTCACATTTCTCTTCAACAGTAAGCTCAGCAGTTTCTTGCAGCTCTGATTTATCCGTTTCTTAATGTAACTTTTTAGGGATGGATGGATTATAGCTAGTTTAAATACAACATATAAAAGGTTCTTAAAGAAACATCCTGCCCTCACGCTTCTGTCATTTTGACTCTTGTTTGATATTGAAATATCAACACTAAAAGCTGACACCTGTCACATTGCCAGTCTGGTTTAACACAAGCTTTTTATTTAATACTCAATATCGGTTAAAAACGACAGATCAACATCAATCCCAACTCAGCAACTGAAGATTAAGTGCTTTTAATTTCATTTCTTCCAGCAAAAGGTCAGAGCCTGATGATGTAGCAGGAGTTTTCTGTTGTGTAAGGAATATTTTAGCATCAGATTTTGCAACAGTTTTGATGTACTCACTGCTACTGTCTATAGCGTGTTTTTGTAGGTGAAGGATCATAAACTGCTGGTTCCTGGCACATCGGGGTCACTCTAGCTTTCTATTAGACCAGTGGTGTCCAATCCTGGTCCTCGAGGGCCGGCATCCAGCACGCTTTCGTTTTAACCTGCTTCAACACACCTGATTTCAATCAGCAGGTGATTAACAGGCTTCTGCAGAGCCTGATGAGCTGCTGCACAGGTGAATCAACCAGCAAATCAAGCGTGTTGAAGCAGAAAAACCACAAAACCTGCTGGTTACCGGCCCTCCAGGACCAGGATCGGACACCCCTGTATTAGACTGTAAACTTATTTTTTTCGGAATGGAAATCTGGTAACCATGAACTATAATTTGTTTACTAAAGCACTGTTTATTCTCACTTTATTTACACATATTGCCTCCACTAGAAGGAGCAATGGAGCGTTAAAAGGTCAATATTAATGCCGTAATTAGGACAGACCGAGTCAGATTTAATGAAGCAAGAAGGCAAGTAAGATTAATTTTAAATTAAGGATTATGTTCTAAATTCCTAAATATTCCTTTAAAGAATGAGCTCTTCATAAATCCATGTGCTAAAGAAAAAAACCTTTGAAAGTTTGCTCAAATCCAGCTCATCTCTACAATAAGACTTCCATCATCTACCATTAGATATTAAACATGTATTTGTTGATATTATTAAACGTGACATAAAGGGAGACCACATCAGAGCTAACGCTGAAACGTCAAGCTACACAGTCAACAGCATTCAATAAGCCAATTAGCGGGTTTAGCAGCGACGGCTCTGTTGGGTGACGCTTGACTGGAGGAACGTTCAGGTGTCAGTGACCTTTAACCACACAGGTGTGGATAATAACTAGGTACGACGTCTCCACCTGTCTGTTAGAGTGCGCTCCAGGACATGGATGCATGCAGAGACGTTGTATGAGGCAATTACGTCAGGAAACCTCACGCGAAAGGAGCGGCACGACCCGAGCAGCGGCTCGCTAATGAAAGTAAATGCAGCCATTAATGCTTAAACTGTGTGTGGAGACTCTGGAGTCTCATGAAGTGTGTATGCTGTCATTCAGAATAATCAGTAAAGTCTCTCTCTCTCTCTCTCTCTCTCTCTCTCTCTCTCTCTCTCTCTCTCTCTCTCTCTCTCTCTCTCTCTCTCTCTCTCTCTCTCTCTCTCTCTCTCTCTCTCTCTCTCTCTCTCTCTCTCTCTCTCTCTCTCTCTCTCTCTCTCTCTCTCTCTCTCTCTCTCTCTCTCTCTCTCTCTCTCTCTCTCTCTCTCTCTCTCTCTCTCTCTCTCTCTCTCTCTCTCTCTCTCTCTCTCTCTCTCTCTCTCTCTCTCTCTCTCTCTAGGTTAAATTTGGAGAACCAGCGGACCAAGACTCACAGGAGTTCTTCGGTTTGATCAGTCAGTTCGTCCTGGACTTCAGAAGGGCTCATGCTGAGATGGTTTAAGTTTTCCTGTGTGCAGAAAAAGACTCAAGTTTTTTTTTATTTTCATCATACTGACAAATGGATCCTTTTAAGGAGGGGGGGGTCTCAGCTTTATGGAATGACTGAAAACATCTGGCTCAGGACTGACCTCTGCCAGTCCGACCAGGTGTGTTCCGGTTCTGACAAACATGAGTAAAAGCGCAGCTTTAGGGGGTCTAACAAAGATCAAACATACAAAAGGCAGGGCTGGTTAAATTGAAATTCCATCAGCATTTTTGTTTTACTGTTAAAAGAAATTTCTTGTGCAATCATGATTTGAAAGGCTCTGTGCCTGGTGATTGCAAAAGATGCTCTGTAATCACGCATTAGGCATCAACAGTTATTAGTGCAAGTCACATACTCTGTATGTGTCAGTTTGTGGAAGAATTCTGGAGAAACTGGAGTTTTACCAGATTTTTCCACACGTTTCATTCATCAAATGAGAACATTTAACAGTTCAGAGAGAAAACAGTAAAGGACCAAGCTCTTACGATGTGTCAAGTGTATTTTTAAAGTAAGTGAGCGACCTCTGTCCAGAAGGTGCTTTGTTGTCCTGGTCCATATACGACATATCTGTATTATATCCCTGAAGGTTTGGAGTGATGTGAAACTGTCTGGGGTTCAGATTCAAAGCTGCAATGTAAGATAAACCGAAACCTGAAACCTCTTCCTCTGTTTAAAGCAGAAATCAAGAGTTTTGCTCTCAGAGGGCACCATCTACTGCTGGAAAAATGTAATGCTCCGTAAACCTTTCTCTCTGCTTCTGAGGTTCTGACAGGAGTCAGCGCCTTTCATTCGTCAGCGCGCTCCTCTAGCCGGCCAACAGAGCTAAAATTCATTAGAAGAACTTTAATCGGATTAAAAAAATATCCACAACAGGGTAAGAATATCACCTTTACAGATTTATAAGACATCAAAAATCCTCTCTGAGAGGGGAAAACTCCAGGTTGCTGCTTTATTGCTGTTGGTTTCTCTTTTGGGGATGCTATTTGATTCAGGATGAAGTGTAACAGAACAACAAACATGCTTTATTATTGTTTATAAGACTGGATCCAAGTCAACATGACACAGATTCTCTTCAAAACCTGCTGACTCTGATTTTTCTAGCTAGTTACACTTCAACATAATCAAGTCAAAAACATCATCGGTGGTATCTGAAGATTATTGTTGTTATTGTTGTTTTTGTAACAATCAATGTTGTTGACTGCGTGTAAATCAGTTCTGAAAATATTAAATTAATTTTTAACTGTCACAGATTTATCTGAATAGCATAAATCTGAGTTTATTGACATTTTGTACATTTTGGCTGATACATAATTTCTTTTCTCTGGCTTTGTTTACATTACGATTTTTTAAAAAGTGAGTGAAAACAGGAAAAAAATGAGAGAAATTTCCCGATGTTTTCATTTGCTCATCTTGTTTGTTTACAATGTTCCAGAGAATTTTATAATTCAAAACCTTTTCATTTTGTGGATTTCATCATTAATCTTTAGCTGAACAGAAATAAAGTGTGTAAAAGACACAGACGGTAAATAAAAATATGATAAATTAGTTAAACACTGTTTTTAAAACTTTCAGATCATCAGTATTTTATAGTAAATCTGCTAAGGTAATTTTAATTTCACAGTTAAATTAATAATATTTTACTTTATCTACTGTTTAATATTTCAGCACTGCTGCCTTGTTCTCTTAAGTCTCAGCTGTGGCTGCTGTGCATGAACCTACCATGCTGTCCTCACGTATGCATGGGCGGGTTTACTCTGCTTTCATCCCACAGACCAAAAACATGAATGTTAGATTAAAACTAAGTCCCTTTGTATAAGAGCATCTGCTAAACTCATAAACGATAAATGATAATCTCACCTGCAGGGGGGTTCAGCGTTATGTAGTCCCTGATTTCCAACAAATGCTCCAATTTCATTTGCTGAAGATTAGACTCTGGGAACTTTGCCCCCCCCCAAATTACCTTTAGTTAGAAAATACAGAAGCTGAAATGCACCCTTCTCCAGAACTCCTCCAGACCTTTTTGCTGACAGGCAACAGTGTGAGCATTCAGATCAAACTGTAGAAAAGATTCTTCCTGAGGATCCTCAGACAGTAGATGCTCTGCTGTGCTAAACAAATCGAATCTTTAGAGCTCACCACCCGTTTTCCACCAGACATTCAGTGCAGCTCAGCTACAGTGCTCAGGGTCCATGACATGTGAGACAAAGCTTTAGTGGGTGGGCTCGTCATTTAGCGCCGAGAATCAGAAAAGTGGTACGACGTGATGTGTAAGTGAGACCAACACACCACAACTCAACAATGGAGGATAGTGCAGCGATGCTGAACGTTCTGTTCAGTCTGAGACTTTTATCAGACTCTGAAAAGAAGACGCCCAGAAAAGGCTGCGAGGCGAGGCAAACGCTCTGGACACCAGGAGAGAGTGGGTGACTCCACCTCACAGCCAATAAGTGACTGACAAATAGTAAATGGTCTGTATTTCATAAAACGCCTTCTAGAGTCCTGGAGCCCCCCCCCAAGGCACTTTACCACACAATCAGTCATCCACCCATTCACACCCTGGTGGAGATGATGAGCTATACTGTAGCCACAGCTGCTCTGGGGCGCACTGACAGAGGTGAGTCTGCCAAGCACAGGAGCGACCGGTCCCTCCGACCACCACCAGCAGGCAAGGTGGGTTAAATGTCTTGCCCAAGAACACATCAGCAACAGACTGAGCGGGGCTCAAACCTACAACCTTCTGATTGCGGGGCAGGCACTTAACTCATTCACTGCCAATGACGACTAAAGTCGTCATTTGCATTTTTTTACTGTTAGCGCGGGGGCTCGTTCCGATGCTCAGAGAACGAACATCTCAGCCCTGAAGCCGATCTTCATCCGCATACGTCACAGATCACATGATCAGGAAGCAACACATCCATGTGTTTGGAGATCGTTTTGGGCCGTTCCTGTAAAAAAAGTGAGGCGAGAACCGGAAAAACGGTTGCCGATCACAATTCGACAACGGATTATGAAAGAACGGATAATGCTCGAAACACGCGGCTTCTTCCTGATGTAAGAGCTTTTTGTTTTGGTTGTTTTGGCATCGACATCATGCTAGCGCGCAACGTTCTGTGACTCTTAAAAAAAACAGTAAAAACAGTGAGAAACACTGGCAGCGAAGGCCGTTAGCGATCAGGAAACGGCTGGCAGTGAATGAGTTAACTCTTGTGCCACCGTCGCCCCTGACAACTGTCTGACATTATGTTTCCAGCGGGCACGGTACGCTGAGAACCACAGCAATGTTGATTCTATAGAAGGGGCATGGACCCGTCACCAGGTAAAAGCCCAGGAATCGTGTTGAGCCGAGCCACGGCACCCACGTCTAGCCGCGCTGACCGTATCCATTTGCATCCTGGTTCTGGAAACTTGTGGGGATTAAATCTTGGATCTTTCTGAGTTATTTTTAATTGTATTTTTTCAGCCACTCAAACATCTCACACCTACCATCTGCAGAGGTCCATTGCCTGATGTCAACAGCTCCAGACGTGTAACGACGTTCTGCTACAACCACCAGCGCTACGCAGTCTCTACCGCCACCCTCTGATAACCTCTTACAACTCCATAGTCCAATTAAATGGCGGCCATTTTGAGCTGACAGAATAATAAAACCACAGGTGTAGTAAGAAGAGCCGATTCCTGTTAGAAAAGGTTCTCCTCATTAGCATTTTACAGGACAGTCAGCAGCTGTGGAAGAAGAAAACAGCTCTCACTGAAGCACCTGAGCGGTTCCTGCTCTCGTCGGGTAAAATCTGGCATGGAATGGATGAACTACCCCAGCTTCAGAGGGAGATGTGTGGCTGTGATTATTTGCAGCATGCTCATGCTCTGGTTAGGGACATTTCTTCTCCTGTCACTCCACTAGAAGCTCCAAGGCTGTCTGAAGGCAGGACCACCTCGATCATTATGATGATCTGCTACATAGAATGTTCCGTCGAGTCCTCTGGTGCCAGCTGAAAGTGATTTATGAGCTTTTGTTTGTCTGAGAATTTAATTAGAGCAACAAAACCCTATTTTATAATTAGGATATGAAGAGTTTATTTGTTCATTTTGAAATAAGATGGAAGACAACGAGATCTTTGTTATTAATATAGGATGTTTTTTAAGAAGAAGCAAAAACATTTCTTTAATGAATTATTTAAGTACCTCTATCTGCTCATGTCATGACTGTGGGGAGTTTCCTGACCCAAGACATGCAGACTCACACTGGGAGACGTAGGTGAGAAAATAATGTTTTATTTTGAAGGAAACTAAAGGTGCACCGCCAGACGTGGCGGTGATGCTGAGCACGGCTCCGGGCCTGGGTCTGCTGAGACAAACACTGGTCAGGGTTTGGACAGAGTGGAACAAGACAGGGAGGACTCAGTTTCTGTGGTTCTTACTGTGGAGCTGAAATCCAAGAGCTTGGGAGGGTAGACAGGACTGGGGGTGAGCAGCGTCGGAGGTAATCCGAATCCGAGGGAGGTGAGCGGTGGGAGAGCGCGTCGGTCCAGGTGTGGAGGGAGATCAGGCTCGGAGGTGAAATCCAGATTATTGCAGAATTGGTCAGCGGTGAGAGTTCCTGGTGAGGACAAGGCGGAGTACATTCAAACAACAACGACTGATAGCGAGCACAAGACAAAGACTAAAGCTATTATAGATATCTCTATAATGGCAAAGCTACCCAACGTGAGTAATCTTCCAGCGAGGTGAAGTGATCTCCAGCTCCTTATAAACGCTGGCAGGTGAAAATCACAGCGGCTGGCCGCTCTCCGGAGCCGCCCACCTGCAACGACTTGAGGCTGATTATCAGAATGTGCAGACTCACCCCAGATCCTGACAAGAACAGCCCAAGGCCTAGTCCACACGTAGCCGGAGTTTTAAAAAAAACGAATATCCGCCCCTCCAAAAACTTGCACCCACACCACCTCGTTTTAAAAATAAACTCTGTCCACACGTACCCGGATAAATACGTTGTTAAGGACATGCCAGACCTGTAGGCGGCAGTACTTCCCCCGTTCTTAACCTCGTCCTTCGTCTGTGGTCTTCCGCAAGGAGCAGTAATTCCGCTTGCAAAAACAAACAAGCAAAAAGCGCTTGGACAGTTGATAAAGCGAGCGCAGCTCTGAGGGCATCCATGCTGTCGGCTAGTGTAAACACAGGTCGCACACGTGATGTCAGCATTTTTTTGTCGCGGAAAGTGACGTTGCGGACCTTAAAACTCCGGTTTTGTCTGTCCACACGCAGACACCCAAAACGGAGAAAACGCAGATCTTCACTTTGGCCGGAGTTTTTAAAAAGATCAGTTTTCGTGTGAAAAAACTCAGTTTTCGTGTGGATGACAGGCCAAAACGTAGACAAATATCTACGTTTTGGCAGATCCCCGGCTACGTGTGGACAGGGCCCAAGTCTAAACCGTCCAAACGTGATACCCATTCCAGAGCCATCACCATCTTTGCAGTGTTGTGCTTTCACAGTTTTGGTGCCACGCCTGCCCTGTCTACAAACATACAGCGCTGTGATTGGACAGACCTAAAACTGTTCGGCCTAACGGTGGACCTGCAGAGGCTGCAACGGAGTGTTGCTACAAAGTGTTTTGCTCCCGCTACGGATTGTCTAGATTAGGCTATCAGTAAACTGCTTTCCAGATGTTTTGTAAATGGCTGAATTTGTAAGCACACACCTGCATCATTAACTCCATGACATCACTATTCTCACACATCTATGCTATGCAAATCATCTGTTGATGCCATTTTTGTTCTCAGGCCAGTGAGGTATGGGTTTTAGGACTGTGTAAGAGGGACAACGGTGCATGCAAGCTCACAAGAACAGATAACTCATCACACAGTCAAAAACAAAATGCCGTCCCCTTGTCTAATTTCTTTTATCGTTAATCTACTCCTCAGGTGCATCTGAGCAGAAACATGACTCAGGTCAAGCTTCTGTTTCCTGTTGTCATGTTTACTGCTGCTTGAGCTCCAGACGGCTTCCGGGAAAATACCAGAACAAGCTGAGGTGTTAAATCTGCAGTGAACTCGAGGACAGTTGACCTCCTTTAAAACCACATATTTTTATTACAGGACCATCCGAGTACCAGACAGGTGCAGATATGAGCTGTCACTGACCGGTAAGAGATGCTACGTGCATCCCCAACAAACTGATTTCCAAAGCATGTTTTCAGCTCAATTTCCTGCCTTCAGTGTTTCCACACAGACTCCACTCTGGAGTGTTTCCACTGGTGAGAAGGTGTCTCCAGCAGGGAGCCTCC